CGTATCGGGCGCAGCCGCATCGATCCAGCAGCACGATGCTTCCCACGCCCACCACGTCCTCGCCCATCGCGCCCTCACCGATCGCCAACCACAGCTGATCAAGGTGCAGAAGCGCCTCGCTGCCACCATCGGCGACGGTCTCGGCGGCATCATCAACGGTCTCGGCAGGGATCTCGGTCTCAATGGTACGTATCCTCTAGCACCACAAGCGGCAGCCATACACCCTTTTGCGCTGCTGCCGTCGTTCCGCTCGCGAGCAGCACCATCTCGACTGCGAACATGAGTTCCCGACTCCTCGTCTTGGCATCCCTTCCTAACCCCTCCCTTTCCTCATCGCACTTTTTCCATCGGTCCCATTCCTCCCTTTCCCCTCCCCCATCCAATACCTTTCCATCTCCTCCCTCTCCTCCATCTCCTCCCTCTCCTCCCTCTCCACCTCTCGCTCCTTCCTTGCCCTCCTTCCGAAACCCTCTCCTCCTCGCACTCTTCTCTTGGCCGCTCGATCTCTTCAAAAACCACCCTTCGCTTCGGAACCCGACTCTCCTTCCCCTCAAATACGGCCGATTCCCACAGACCTCGACGAAGCAGAATACCGTCTGCACAATCTTCGTCGTGGACTTGTCGGTGATGTTCTCGGCGCTGGTGATTATCTCCTTCCCCCTTCCTCCCATCTTGCCCACACCCTCGCCCCACATCCTCTCCCTTCTCCCTTCCTCCCTTCCTCCTCTTTCACTCTCCTTGCTCCTCGGACTCCCTCCTCAACCCATCCTCAATCCCGTTTCCCACTCCATCCCCCATCCCCGGTCCCCATTTCCCCGTACCCTGGCGAACCATACTGTCCAGATGGACGCTATTGTGGACGCTATCAATCCGCGGCTGTTTTAACCCGGCACGCCAATAATCACGCAACTTGCTGACGTCTTTCCTTCCTCATTTGCGACCCACAGGTGGCGGACAGCCCCCGTCGGCGAGCTCGTCGAGCGCGCCTGCGCCCGCGACAACCTCGCGTCCGGCATCGAGCAGCAACAACAACGGCGGCGGATCGTCGAGCAACGCGCCTGCACCCGCGCCCGCTGCGTCGTCCACCTCGGCTCCCGCCAACCGCCCCTCGTCCGGCCAGACGAGCAACGCCAACAGCGGCAGCACCACCAACAACAACGGCGGCAACACCAACACCAACACCAACAACAACAACGCCAACCAGAACCGTCCTGCGACGAACGTTGGCAGCTCCAACGCGGGCAGCACCGGCAGCAACGCGGGCAACAGCGGGTCGAACCAGGGCAGCAGCGGTGCGT